TAATTACCTATAGTAGTTTGGGGGGCTCCTTATAATATTCATACTATGACTATAACTATCATAATATAGACCCCAAAACCCTATTCTAATTATTGAGGCCCCTATCTTAGATTTAGATGTCAGGGCGAGGCTTAAACATTGACGCAGATGCATCTGAAGAGTTTTGTTCCCTGACACTGGGTGGCAATCAAACTCTGAGATTCACAATCGGACGCTTTAGGGTTTAGGGTTTAGGATAGTGCGAGTAGAAGTGGCGTTGCTCAGAGACTCCAATATCCCTTTTTTAAAGAATATACCTTAAATCATATTGGGGATCCTACTATATTTTAAGGTATATTCCTTAACTAAGGGTTTACGGTTTAGGGTTTAGGGGTTTAGGGGCTTTGGGTTTAGGGTTTGATACTGCAGCAGACTGACAGGCAAGGCGATTCCAACTTGTCGGATTGTAGGGAGCTAACCCTAAACCCTAAACCCTAAACCAATTGTTCTATGCCTTGGTCGACTTTGGCACCACCAGTGGGCCCCCGAACAGCCGAGAGGCTTGTTCGGATTGCGGGGACACGGGGTTAAGGTTTAGGGTTTAGGGTTTAGAGTTAAGGACCCCTTGTTGAACAACACCTCGAATCAGGGTTCAACGTGTATTGGGGTCTACTACTGTTGTTTTTGTGCAGTGCTGGCACTGCTACAGAGCATTATGCTGCTTCTGCTGGCATTGGCATGGTGTGACACACCACGCCAGACTTTCCAGCTGTCTTCTTTTGTTTAATAATTTTCGACATGTGCTGGCGATTCTCACTGCAAACATTCACCTGCAAAGAAAATGTAGCTTATTCTAGGGGTCGGAATGATTAATTAGATGTAGCATATTGTTGTAGTTCCTGTAGTATGCTACGGTACCATACGCAAACCCGATCCTACTGATCCTGGTTCCTGCGTCGAGTAAAAAGTAACGTGCCAAGAGCATGTGGTTCAAGCTTTAAGGGGTTCGGCCCTCGGCTGCATGCATATGGGAGTTTCCGAAAATTAGGGTACCTTATTTTGGGGTCCTTATAATAAGGATCCTATTATTTAGGGTATTATATTAGGGTCCCCTATGTTTGGAAATCCCCATATCTAGCAGACGACGTCACCCTAAACCCTAAACCGTCGCATGCAGCCATCCTGCAGGATGTAGGACGAACATGAGCCTGACCCATCGTTTCTGTACGTGGTTCGACTTTGGGTCCCCAAGCTTTCGCGTCGTTCAGCACAAACGCAAGTGTTAGGGTTTAGGGTTCAGGGTTTAGGGCTTAGGGTTTATAGGCTTCAGGGTTTGGGGTTTAGGGCACAGGCTTCCTGTAAGCTTTCCTTTTTGGACGTAGCAGCAACATTCACGTGCAGAACTATCATTCAGGCTTCTTAGTATCTTTGCAGCATGAATTGCTGCGACCCAAGCACTGTCAATGGGCCTCGCATGAGTGCCTCGCATGCATTGGGTTGTGCCGGGACTGTATCTCTTGGACTCATAGAGGATTAGGGACCCTAAACCCTAAACCCTAAACCCCAAACCCTTAAACCCTAAAGCCTAAACCCCAAAAAACCCTAAACCCTACGTGTGATTGACAGGCCGCATCGGACAGTAGGTCGATCAAAAACGCAGGATGTGGCTCTCGGAATCACTGGGTCAGGATCCATGCATGCCGTTACTTTAGGGTTTAGGGTTTAGGGTTTAGGGTTTAGCGTGTAGGGTTACTTCCATAAGGTCAATAACCCTATGCCTCCAGGGACCTTATTATTGGGTCCTTAAGGGGTCTAGGGCCCTACATAACTATAAGGTCCTTGGAAGCATAGGGTAAGGTCAATAATACAGTGTTGTACCAAGGTAGCAACATAAAACAGCAATAGCAACCATTAGCAAGACAAGCATAATGATGACAGGTATTGATATTGTGGTTGTTGACATGTGTGAGGCGGAGGATAACATCTCCACGACCCGAACATTTCATTAGCTTGCAGCTCTTGCTTAGAAAACCTAGTGGTTCAAGTCGGGTTGCGCAAAGCGTGAGGGGTAGGCGTGCCAAGAAGTATAGTAGGAAAGCCTCAACCCGAAGCCCCAAAAGCCCCGGCACAACCCGATTGTAGCGACCTTTGTCGCAAAACTCACTGGTTCATTAAGGGAGTAAGTTCGGCAGATTAAGGATGATTGTTTACATCCCACTACAGTCTCTAGCCTAGAGAACCACTATAGTTCTTTCATGTTGAAATCCTAGACGGTCCCTGTTTTGTAACCGGGAGAAACCCTACGACACTTCTTTTTATAAAGACACGCAAATCCAGAATGCCAGGGAAATTTGTTCGTGTTCGGGCTGCAAAATACGAAGGAACAGAAGGCTTTCACATGAATGTGAGGTTAGGGTGCGACTTTGGGTATGGGGTTCAGAGTGCAATGGGGCTTATGATCCTTCGTTGAGATTTCGGTTTTGGGTATAACCTTTGGTACTTGCGATGTCCAATATTTCGAATATTCTTCACAAGACGTGCAGGCCGCCCAGTCGCTTGGCGCTGGGTGGGCCGACAGCTGACACCCAGAACCCAGGACCCAGCAGTCATAGCTATCTGCCAACCATGCATGTGAGAGCACTCACACAACCCTTCTCTTTGTCTTCGCAACATGTGCTCTGGGTCCGCAGTATATATAAAGAATTCACTTGCACGGTGTGATTGTTTTTCACTTTGCAGAAGGTCGGCAGAGACAGATCGCTCCCGGTTCTGATGTTTAGGATTTGAGAGATCGAAGTGGAAGAAACCCTAAACCCTAAACCCTAAACCCAAACCCTAAACCATAAACCCAAACCCTAAACCTAAACCCTAAACCCTAAACCCTAAACCCTAAACCCCAAACCCTAAACCCAAACCCTAAACCCTAAACCCTAAACCCTTAGAATCAGGTCCGGGCTTCAGGGCCGAGGATTCGGGGCCTTCGCACGGCACGGCACGAGATGCTGGTGTTAATGGTGCCTTAAGGACTTGGTTTAGGGTTTAGGGTTTAGGGTTTAGGGTTTAGGGTTCAGGGTTTAGGGTTACTTCCATAAGGTCAATAACCCTATGCTTCCAGGGACCTTATTATTGGGTCCTTAAGGGGTCTAGGGCCCTAACTATAAGGTCCTTGGAAGCATAGGGTAAGGACTTACCTAGAGTCTCCGTTGTGGTTAAATTTTTGGTTTAACAAATTATATATCAAGGATTTTGTAAGGAATCCCCAACAAGGAACTACAATGGAGACTATAGGTAAGGACGAGAAGAACCTTAAAAGTAGGGGCCCTATACCCTTATACTATGAATCCCTATATTTGGTATACGAACCCTAAACCCTTTTCCGGGCTCTTTTCGTCCTTAAGGTGTACCCTAAACCCCTAAACCCTAAACCCTTAACCCTAAACCCTAAACCCTAAACCCCTAAACCCTAAACCCTAAACCAGGAAGAACGAACTTGAAATCCCGACCCCCGAAGCCTCCCACCCGGCCAAAAGCGGAGCTGTCCAGAGCCCCAAAATCCGAAACAGCAAGCTCTCAAACCCTAAGGGTCCATGTACCCAAATTTTAGGGTTTAGGGTTTAGGGTTTAGGGTTTAGGGTTTAGGGTTTAGGGTTTAGGGTACCATAAGGGTTTTGGGGATATTTAGGGGATATAGGGACCCATGTACCTAAATAGTAGGTACTTTGGCCTTAACGTAGTCCCTCTATAAGAACTTCAGGGCCAATGTATATACTATTTGGGCACATGGACCCTTAGGGAAACTTCAACCGTCCACGTCACATTGCTCTTGAAGTCATTAAGTTGCAAACGTCACTGGAGAGCTAAGCCCCGTTTAAGCCCAGAAACATTTCGATGCTGCAGCCTTGCATCTGGACAGTGTCAGCTAGTACGGCTTCTGCCCTGTGCGCTCTACTTTTTGGAGAGTGCCTTGGCACGGAATTTGGGTTGCAGGGTTGCTGGGTTCTGCATCATGTGTTCTAAGGGCGTGTAGCCTAGGTTCATTGCTGTTGCGAGTTGTTATTGCCGTGTATGTTGCTGTTTCCAGTTCTTCTGGTTCTCAGTAGTGAGCCGCATGTTTTGCTTGTATACACCCCAAGTTGCTTCCATCAGTTGCATGAGAGTTAGTCTGCTGTCGTGTATAACGTATCCTTCAGTTATATATCAAGTCAGAGTCAGCACCGTATACTGATTATACGTACTCCTGTGAGCATTCATAGTTTGATGAGAGCAGTGAAGGCTCGGGAGTGCTCGGCTTAGGTTTTGCATTTCAGGGTTGCGCCTAGAATGTCCGAACTGTTGTGGAGTCGGATGCTCATCATGGCGGACCCTTTGAGCCCGAAATCTAGCTTCGAGCCGACTCCATGTAAGGGTTTGCAGTGGGGTTTAGGGCTCCCAGCCTGAAACAGGAAGCTTCCATGCCACCATCTTCCAACGTCGTCGACTTACTCCCTCCATGCGACTTGGGCGCAGTGCATGACCTCGTCACTAATTTCATTTACTCTTCTTTTCGCCGTTTCCTGTCAACTAAATTGAAGCAATGTTGAGCGCAAACTTGCGCAGCCGCGGAAGTTATTCTCATTTCCTCCCCGGCCTCGTGCTACGACGCCGACTACGACTATACTACTACTACGACTACTACTACTGCTACTACTACTACTACTACTACTACGACTACGACTACTACTACTACTACTACTACTACTACTACTACTACTCCTACTCCTACTCCTGCTTCTGCTTCTGCTGCTGATACCACTGCTACAGCTACTACTCGCACGACTACTACAATTAGGAGACGACGTGGTGTAATCAGGCGAGGGGAGAAGAAGGGAAGCCAGCCACAGATGCTACCGGAACGAAGAAGAACAGCCGCATGGCCCTGTGGGAAAGAAGAGTAGGTTTCCGGTTCGTTACTGGATCCCACACCTCTTGCCAACCACTCCTGCCGCTAAACAGCAACTACTTGTTCAGACAGTAAGCTCGAGGCGAGCACGAGTTCGGTCCGTTGGCGCAGAGCGCTGCCGTGAGCTTGCCGCTGACCTAATATCCCCGATTCTCTACTTCGGTAGACTGAAGTGGTCGACGCCATAGCACTAGTTTGAGGGATTTGAGTCGCGCACTCGCGCACTCATAGACTCTTGCCCCGAATTTCGGGCTGGGTCTTAGCTTCTTCGTGTGTGCAGCCCTGTTTTACTCAGAAGTGGGCTGCAAGCCTGCACCTTGAGTTTCTGGGGCCTGTGGCGACAGTGCAATCTCACATATAAGACAACTCCCAATCTCTTGCGCAACGCCTCAGTGCTCGAAACCCCAAGCCCTTTGTGAATCTGCGGGTCCGGAAATCCTGAAAGCCTGACCCCCAATTTCTGCTTCCTTCCGCGAAGCCAGTGCCGGTGCATCTTGGGATTACTTTGGGTTTTTTCATAGACGATGAACTTTTTCGCCTCGCCCCTGTTGGCGTTCTGACTGTGGCTCGTCTACCAGAAGGGCATCAGGCTGGTGATTTAGAAGAAGGGCATGTCAGTTCCAAGCAAAACAGAAGGTGGGTCCCGCATGCACATCAAAGCACTTGAGTCCTTCGAAGTCAAGGGGTGTTGGCCTCCAAGGCTGCTTCTCCTGTGTCACAAGCCCTTACAGCTCAGGTTGCATCCGCATGCACCGAATTCCTTCGAAGCAGGCGCGGCACCAACATAGGTTGTCAGGTTCGGGTCAGGCTCTTCAGAAATTGGATTCGGCTAGACTTATCGGTAGCAGAGAATTCACAGCAAGGTAGCATGCAGAGTTCCGGTGCGGACAGCTGACTGAAATAGGTTCAAAGCCAGGGTAAGCAGTCAACTTGAATTGTTTACTACTCAGGTCTTCTTGTTGTCTAAAGCCTGCCAGCTACTATTCCAAAGACTGCAACTGCAAACCTAGTCTCAATAATAGCCTTGAAGGCCAGAAACCTGGAATGTGAGCAACGCGGGAAGCTCGTTGAACGTCAGCCGATTTTCGGATTTGAGTGAAGATTGCATCTCATGTAGTCAACACTTACTATGTGGATTACGGCTTTTACGGTGCAGGGTTCACGGCTCAAATTAGCAATTGAAGGCATCTACACTTTGAGCAATGCCAGACTCAGAATTCCTCGTCAGAAAGGCAGCCCTAAACCCTGAGGCCATTAGAACGGCCCTGGAGAATGGAGTTTTAGGGTGTAGGGTTTAGGGTGTTTAGGGTTTAAAAGGTTCCTTAAACATGGTCGATGTTGCAAAGGTCCACACTTTCGCAAGTGAAACCCGCGTGGAAAGAAAGGAAGCATTCAAGCTAGAAGCTGTCGGAAAATAGAGTCGACCGTTTCGCTCCAGATGTAGGGACCACACATGGAATCCTCGGGCCTTGCGAAAAATAATGCAAAATCCAAGCCAAACCTGAAGGCCATCCTTGAAACTGGCATTCTCAACGGAGCTGCCTCGGGAATATACTACAGTAGCTCGACGTTCCACAACCATGAGCCGTCATGGAATCATGTGGCAAACTTATTTGTTGTTGTTCCGGCTCAAGGTTGTCATGAGGCTTGAGGGCGATATCATCGTGTTTCGATGGTTTCCCATGGGGCTTTACGACCTCTGTTGAAAAGGCTTTTTGCAAGTTGAACTACCCTAAACCCCATACCCTAAACCCTAAACCCTAAACCCTAAACCCTAAGCCCTAAACCCTAAACCCTAAACCCAAACCGAGGCAGTAAGGCGCGTTCCTGTTCCGAGCCCACCTTGGGGCCGAGATTTGAGTCGAAGGTTTCTGAGCTTTGTGATTTTACCTGTCGTCTCCATTGTAGTTCCTTCTTTTGGTTTCACCCATTATATACTAAGGATTGTATAAGGTATCCCCAAAAAGGAACTACAATGGAGCCTATGGGTACCCTAAACCCTGAACCCTAAACCCTTTTTGGGGATACCTTGTAAAAGGGTTTAGGGTTTAGGGTTTAGGGTACCCATAGGCTCCATTGTAGTTCTTTTTGCGGGATACCTTATAAAAGGGTTTAGGGTTTAGGGTTCAGAGTTTCGGGTTTAGGGTTTAGGGTACTCATAGGCTCCATTGTAGTTCCCTTTCGCGGATACCTTATAAAAGGGTTTAGGGTTTAGGGTTCAGGGTTTAGGGTTTAGGGTTTAGGGTACCCATAGGCTCCATTCTAGTTCCTTTTTGGGGATACCTCATAAAATCCTTACTATATAATGGGTTAAACCAAAAGGAGGAACTACAATGGAGACTATAGGTACGTAGTGAAAGTCTCGGGCCCCAAGCCCCATAATCTTCAAGGGCTCTCCGGGGTTGCCGACTTCTGGATACTTCCCCAGACCTCTAGCTGGAGCCGCTGTCGAAACTACAAGATGGCCCATGGAAGCTCAAAAAATATGAAAAGCATACTAGAAGGCCGGATCCATAATCAGTATAAGCTCTGATTGCCTGAAACTCCGGGAAGCCAGGAGCGTCCAGCACCAATGCAAACCAGATTGAGCTCAAGTTCACCTCGTTGCAGCGTGTACATTGTCACTTGGCTCTTGGTTTTAGCGCTGTTGGACGGACTTTTTTCTTGCTCCTGGTGCCTTTAGGGCTCTTAGGGCTCAGGTTTGCAGCGTTTGCTGTATGTTGGAAACAAGTTGTAGGTTTCAGGGAAGGTTTGGGGCTTGAGGGCTTGGGGGATCGAGCACTTTGGCGTTCAGGAGTTAGGCCGGGGGTAAGGCTTTTAGGGTTTAGGGTTTAGGGTTTTAGGGCTTGGGGTTTAGGGTTTAGGGTTTAGGCTTATCGGATCTAAATTCAATAGTTTAGGGTTTAGGGTTTAGGGTTTTAGGGCTTGGGGTTTAGGGTTTAGGGTTTAGGCTTATCGTTTCGGTTTAGTTGGCTTCCGAGAGCTTTGGGCGCGGAAGCTCTGCCACTCCCCTGCTGGACGGAACCGAAGCAGCATCTCAACAGCAGTAGCCCGATCCTAGTCGAGCTCATGGCTGTGTGTGCCTGAAGATAAGCGTCATGGGTTCAGAGTCTTGAATTTCGGGATTCGGGAAATATGGCAGTGCGGGTTTCGGTCAACGTGCTTATAGGGTTTAGAATTCGGGTGTTCCGCATGTAGGGTTGATTTGAAGGACTAAACACCACCAGGCTACATCAGCCCTTGTTAAGTTGTGTGCACTATGAATTCTCTAAATGCGCGAAAAACAGATGCTTGGGGACGAAATTGGTCCTGCAAGGGATCCCGAGCGAGAGGGTTTAGGGGCTCAGGGGTTTGGGGTTTAGGTATTTTGGATGTCGGGGTTGGCTTTAGGGTTTACAGGAAGCTTAAGATTTAGGGTTTAGGGTTTAGAGTTTATAGGTTTTAGGATTTAAGGTTTAGGGTTTACAGGAAGCTTAGCTTAGTGCTGCTTCCGGGCACGACTCAATCAGATACCCATGCTGTGACATACCCATTCTTACGAAAGGCTGATGACCGCCATGAGCATCTGAAGCTTCGGAATCTTAAACGCCACGCGGAAACCGGCATTGTATACCAGCAGAATCGTCGAAGCAGTAAGTAACGTAAGGGTCTGAATAATTACTAGTACTATTTTGAGCTCCTTGTTACCATTCTTTGTAGAATATACTCCCCAAATCCCTATTCGAATTCTTCAGGCCCCTACATTAAAACCCCTGAAGCTTCGCCATGCACAGAGCGCTCGCCTGCCTCGCAGCCTCAAGGCCTTGATGACAAGGAGATGTCTAAGCTGTGCGCGAACATCGGAAACTAGGTGGCACTTTGGGATTTTTGTTTAGGCAAATTTATGGGTACCTATTCATAAGCAATTTAAGGGCTCCGAAAATTCAGCGTTTCCGCTGACATTAAAGGGGGGGCATTCCGTTTATATACGTATGTACACACACACATATATATATATATATATATGTGTGTACACACACAAACGTATATGCCCTAGACCAATCCATACCGATTGCTCTGACGTGTTCTGTCACCTTCAGGTTGCAACAAGATGTTGCGCTTGCAGTGCCGCATACAGCTATAGAAAATTCATCACCGTCAAGCTTTCTCTTGCAGTTTCACCAAGGACATGCTGTCGTGGCCGAGAGACTTGGTCCACACAGTCTCAACTCCCTCATGGGGGCTGTTCGGAATCAGGGTTGCTTGGAGCATCCCAGATATCTTTGCAGCTTTATAACAATCTCCACATAGCTTGCTGCTTACTGTCTGCGGGCCTCCCCGTTTTCAACCTTAGCTGGGCACGGAGACGGCTGTGTATGGCAAATGCAACTAGGTTCAGACACGAAACGCAGCGCGGCAACCATACCCAAAAACTGAAACCACAGTACCGTTGTTGTTTGGAACCACTCGGTTATATACAGGTGTTGAGCTATGATGAACAAACTAGGGTGGCAATTAGGTCCAAACGGGGTACTACAATTCAGAGTCTAGGAACACACTGGCTTCGTAGTGGTGCCTCTTATACCAATGTATGGCAAGACAACAAACATAGCCGCGTAAACGCCGACCGTGACTAGCTACTGTGGGTCCGTCGAAAGCTGTAGGTTTTTGTTTATGTAATTTGTGCCAGGACGGCGAGAAAACACGAGCACCTTTGTAGTTGTATTTGTGCGCACATGGCTATGGTCACCGACAGTACCTGCGTCTGATCTTGATTAAATCCTGATCCTCCTTCGCATGAACTGGATGCAGCACATGGCAATTTGCTATATATATATATATATATATACGTATTTGTGCTTCTGCTTCAAACTCAGAGAGCCGCACAGCTAGGAACGACCAACTTGTAAAGGGTACATGAAGCCCCTTGAAAACAAGCGCATGTGGTCTGAAGTCCGTACATGTGCTAGAGTGAGAAAAACAATCTTCGGAGCGCGAGTGCAATGGAAGACGCATCAACTGCATAAACCCTTTAGCACCTCACCGTCTTCGAGCGATTACAGATCTAGACAGCTGCCAACTGCGGACTATTCACGCATCCTGTCGTCACCATCTCCAGTTCAGCACACGAGACAGACAAAGACAACACAGAGACTGAGACAAAAGCCTCGAGGCTGTGACTGCAGCCGATGCTGCTGTGCGACTCGTTTACGAAGCCTTTGCCGGAGCTGTTTTCTCGTAGGGACTGTCCGAGACAGCCTGCCCTCTGACCAAATGCAGCCATGGAATGATTTTCACGGTTATAATGAAACACGATCAGGAGTTCCCTTTGCAGAACAGCCTTCTGCCGGCTCAGCCACCCCTCATGAGGCATGCGCGAAGGGACAATCCCATCGCCACCGCAAGACGACAGAATCCAGAATGGATTCATACAGCCCGATTCGCAGCCTTGACGCAGTGTTAAGGTTAGTTCCTGAAGGGTACTATAAACCGGGCACTAATTATGAGGTTAACTTAACAGAAGTAACTATGAGGTATAGGATTGAATCTTTCAGGCGCTCGCTATCCAACTTTGACATCTAAGTGAGTGCCGTCAGGAAGAACTGCGAGATAAGTGATGAGCTCGGTTTAGGGTTTAGGGTTTAGGGTCCTAAGGTGGCTAGACCAGGCTGCCCAGGGTTTTGGGGATATGGTTGCATGGCGGATCTTGGGTTGGAGTTGGGGTTTCGGGTTTAGGGTTTAGGGTTTAAGGTTGGTTAATGCAGACCCTCTTGAAGTCGCAGTTGAAAGCCAAGTGACCGAGCACTTCCGTGTTGAACTGCCTTCTGCTCTGGGGGGAGGGGGGGTTCAGATGGGCTTGGTGATGTCCCGTGTGTGGCTCAGGGCTGAGGGGCGGGTGTAGGGCTTTGCTAGCCATTGTATTCAGGAAAAACAGTCGGTACGGCAGGATAGCAGGCTCGCGCAGGCTACGACAGTTGGTTTTGTAGTCGCTTCAAGCTCCACGAGTATGCCAAGTACCTTAGTTTTGGCGGGTATTCTTGTGCCGTGCAGTGCTTCAGTATGGCTGCAAATTCAACTCCATCTCTGAGCGTTAGCGGGCCTGGCATACCTTCCTCACTCAGAGTAAACATAGCGTGTGTAGAGGCCTTACGGCAGTCACTATGAGTCTAGACCATCAACTCCTGCCGCCCGTTGGTCCATCATCTCGGTAAGGATGGTTTCAGAGTTTGGGGCGGCAAGCTGTTTGGTGCTGTTTTCTTTGGATGTTTACCCAATACATGTGCAGACTTAGTCTTGTAAGTTCGGGCATCAGACCTTGTCTCTAGAAGCCCGGAATCTCCAAGAGCCCTGCACACAATAGCTTTAGAAGTGTGTTGTGTGCAGGTGCACGTAGTAGGGGGAGGGTATGCGCAATCGCCACCAGGCCGTGAATGCACAGCACATCTTTATAAGCACTTCCTTTGAATCGTTTTTTCGTTATTGACTTGAGGAGAAAGCAGAGACCGAACACTCACGGTCATGAGGGTTAGGATTTCGGAGGTCGGTGCCGAAGCCATTTTTTGCGCTAAACCTTGCAGCAAACCTCTAAACAATGACCACCTAAACCCATGAGCCTGCAGCATTCCGAACCGGCCTCTCTTCGTATGTGGACTCAGATCCAACCCTTTCTGGAAGCTGGGATTTAGGGTTTTGGGTTTTAGGGTTCAGAGTTCGCTGACGTTGAAAGTGCTGGTTATTTTCTTTTGTATATGTCGAGTGGCTCGCTTCGGTGTTGATGCTTTCGCGGTTTGCCTGCCGCCAAATCACAAACAAATCCCAAACTTCAAAACATCAGCCATCAAGCTTGATGCCTTTGTGTATTCAGAGTTCGGCAGGAGGGTGCGCTGCCTATTAAAAACCTACCCGACAGCTGTTGACTTCGCCCGAAGTAACATCACCTCATTCTTCGAGCAGGAAGTGTGCAAAGAGGCGAGAAGCATACTTTTTGGCTCCAAAAAACACAAGCGTAGACTTGATAAGACTCCACGAAAAATAGGTTGTAGTACGTAGTTCCCCTTCTGCTTCTGTGACACAAGTCCCAACAGATCGTAGGAGGTAGTGCCTTGAGCCATGCACGGCTTTCGGCTTTTTTAGGGTTACGGTCTATGAGTGGAAGGGGACGGGGTAGCATTTCCCTTTTAACGCAGAGATTCCTTCTTTGGAAGTAGAGAGGTAGATTCTTGAGCTTCGAAAGCCACCTTAAGCCCCAAATCCTGTAGGCATCTTATAGGCCCTGAAGCCCCATAACCCTAAACCCTACACCCTAAACCCTAAACCCTAAACCCTAAACACCCCGAACCCCAAGTTCTTGGGCGCTGAAATCACAGGTGGAGACTTTGCGGAGGGGTCAGTGGCGTCGACTGGAGTTCGCCAAGGGCCCCAAAGGCCTCTATGGCGGGAGCCTCGGGTGTGCGAAACTTGAGGGTTCACCGTAAACACGGGCTTCAATTTCAAGGGTGGATTATGGTGTAGCCCTAAGGGTCCAAAGGACCCGATAATAAGGTACTTTGGTTGCGGATAGTAGTTTTTTGGGTTAATATTTGGGAGAGTGTATGATTATTAGGTACTTGGACCCTTATGGTAGGATGTAGGTTGAGGGTCGGGGTCTGATCATGAGCTGTGCCTCTCACTACGAAGCCTGTTCGTGCCACATCATTTTTGCTGTCATCCGCATTACTGCTCGTATTCCTACCATGATTTTCAACTTCATCATCATCATCGTCGTCATCATCATCGTCATAA